GCCTGTGCTTTTTGTTCTGTTCAAGAAATCATTGCCCAGGGTGCCTGGGTGGCTCAGTTGGTTAAACATCTGACTCTTTTTTTTTTTTTTTAATATAATTTATTGTCAGATTGGTTTCCATACAACACCCAGTGCTCATCCCAACAGGTGCCCTCCTCAATGCCCATCACCCACTTTCCCCTCTCCCCCACCCCCCATCAACCTTCAGTTTGTTCTCAGTATTTAAGTCTCTTATGGTTTGCCTCCCTCCCTCTCTGCAACTCTTTTTTCCTTCCTCCCCCCCACCCCCATGGTTCTCTGTTAAGTTTCTCAGGATCTGCATATGAGTGAAAACATATGGTAACTATTTTTCTCTGCCTGACTTATTTCACTTAGCATAATACCTTCCAGTTCCATCCACATAGCTACAAATGGCCAGATTTCATTCTTTCTCATTACCAAGTAGTATTCCATAAACGTCTGACTCTTGATTTCAGCTCAGGTCGTGATCTCACGGTTGTGAGATTGAGCCCTGCTTTGGGCTTTGTGTTGAGTGTGGAGCCTGCTTAAGATTCTCTGTCTCTAGCGCGCGCTCTCTCTCTCTCTCTCTCTCTCTCTCTCTCTCTCTGCCACCCTGCCCCCCACTCTCGCCTGTGCTCTCTCTCTCTCTCTCTCAAATAATAATAAAAAGAAATCATTGCCCACACCAATGTCATGAAGGTTGTTCTCTGTTTTCTTCCCAGAGTTTTATGATCTTAGGTCTTCTGTTTGGATCTTTATTTCATTTTGAGTTAATTTTTGTATATGGTATAAGATAAAGGTCCAACCTCATTCTTTTCCATGTGGGTATCAGTTTTCCCAGCACCATTTGTTGAAGTCCTTTCCTGACTGTGTAATCTTGACACTCTTTTCAAAAATCATGTAGCCATTATACAGGGTTTATTTTTGGGCTCTCTCTGTCTTCCACTGGTCAGTATATATGTCTTTATGCCAGGACCACACTGTCTGATAACTGTTGTTTCCTAGTACGTTTTGAAATCAGGAAGTGTGAGGCCTCCAACTTTGTTCTTTTTGGATTCTTTTGGCTATTCAGGGTCCCTTGAGATTCCATATGAATTTCAGGGTTTTGTTTTTTTTTCTTTCTGCAAAAAATGCCATTGGGATTTTCAGAGGGATTGCATTGAATCTGTAGATTGATTTAGGTAGTATGGGCATTTTAACAATACTGAGTCTTCCAGTCCAGAGCATAGGATGTCTTTCCATGTATTTGTATCTTCTTTGATTTCTTTTTGCAATATTGTGTAGTTTGTAGTTTACAAGTCTTTCACCTCCTTGGTTAGGTTGGTTCCTAAGTATTTTTTCCTTTGTGATGCTCTAGTAAACGGGTTTGTTTTCTTAATTTCTTTTTCAGAATGGTCATTGTTAGCATATAGAAATGCAACTGATTTTTGTATGTTGATTTTGTATTCTGAAACTGCTGAAATCATTAGTTGTAACAGGTTGTGTGTGTGTGTGTGTGTGTGTGTGTGTGTGTGTATTCTCTAGAACTTGTTGCATAATTTTGTGTCATCTGTGAACAGATAATTTTAGTGCTTGTTTTCTAACGTGGATGCTGTCTTTCTTTCCTGGTTTAATTGCCCTGGCTGGGATTCCCAGTAAACCTGTTGGATAGTAGTGGCAAACGGGGGCATCTTTGCCTTTGTTTCTGCTCTTGGAGGGAGAGTTTTCCATCTTTTGCCATTGAATATGATGTTAGCTATGGACTTTTCATATGGCTTTTGTTATGTTGAAGTAGTTTCTGTCTGTTCTAGTTTGTTAAGTGTTTTTATCATGAGAGGGTATTGAGTTTTGTCGAATGCTTTTTCTGTGTCAATTGAGGTGATGTGGTTTTTGTCCTTCATTTTGTTAATATGGTGTATGACATTGATGGATTTTTGTATGTTGAGCCATCCTTGCATTCCAGGGATAAATCCCAGTTGGTCGTGGCATATGACGTGTTTTTTGATGTGTTGTTGAGTTCAGTCTGGTAGTATTTTGTTGAGGATTTTTGTGTCTATATTCATCAGGGATACTGGTCTGTAGTTTTCTTGTTGTGCCGAGGAATGAGTTTGGGAGTGCCCCCTCCTCTTCAATTTTTGGAAGAGTGTGAAGAGACTGATACTAATTTTTTAAATTTTATTTTGGTAGAATTCTCTGCTGAAGAAGCCATCTTGTCCTGGGCTTTTTCTTGTTGGGAAGTTTTTTCTATTACTTGCAGTCTCCTTGTTATAGCTCTGTTCAGATTTTTAAAAATTACTTCATGACACAGTCATAATACATTCTATGTTTCTGGGAATTTATCATTTCTTCCAGGCTGTTTACATATAATTATTCATAGTAGTTTTCTATAATCCTTTTTATTTCTGTGAAATCAGTTATGTCCCTTTCTTCACTTACTGCAGTTATGTTAGGCTTCCCCCTTTTGTTCTTCATTGTTCTAGCTAAGAGTTTGTCAATTTTCTTGACCTTACTAAAAAGCCAAGTCTTGGTTTCATTGATTTTTTTTCTGGTTTTCTGTTCTCTGATTTATCTCTGCTCTCTATTTTTCCCTTCCTTCTGCTAAATTTGGGTTAGTTTTTTTTTTCCCCCTGATTCCTCAAAGCGTGAAGTTGGATTGTTGATTTCTTCTTTTTCAATGTCAGCATTTACTACCACAGATTTCCCTCTTAGGACTGCTTTTCTGCATCCTGCAAGCGTCGGTATGCTGTGTTGTTTTCATTTGTCTCCAAAGTTTTCTAAATTCCTCTCTGATTTGTTTCTTTGACCCTTGGGTTAAGAGTGACTTGTTGCATTTCCAAGTATGGGTCTATTTTCCTTTTTTTTCTTTCTGCTGTTGATTTCTAGTTTCATTCCATTGTCAGAAAAGATATTTTATATAATTTCAGTCTTCTTAAATTAATTTTGTGGTCTATCCTGGAGAATGCTCCCTGTGCACTTGAGAAGAGTGTGTATTCTGCTGTTGCTGGTTGGAGTGTTCTGTGCCTGTCTTAGGTCCACGTGGTATGTAGTGCTTTGTGGTTCAGCTGCTCTTTCCTTATTTTCTGTCTGGCTGTTTTGTCCATAACAAAAGTGGGGCTTTGAAGTCCCTATGAATATTGTGTTGCTGGTTCTTCCTTCCGTTCTGTCAATGTTTGTGTCATGTATTTGAGAGTTCTGATGTTAGGTGCATGTGTGTTTATAATTGTTGTATCTTTCTGGAGAATTCACCCTTTTGTCATTATATGATGTCCTACTTTGTCTCTTGTGACATCATCTGCCTGAGAGTCTGTGTAGGCTGCTAGAACATGACTACCTTGCTCTCTTTACATTCTCAATTGCACGAAATAGCTTTTCTCTGTTCTTTCACTATTAGCCGGTGGGTATTCTTAGAACTAAAGTGAGTCTCCCAAACTGCATGTAGCTGGATCTTATTTATTTATCCATTCAGCCCATCCATTCACATGTAATTACTGATATGGGAGGACTTATTTCCACTTGAATTGTTTTCTGTGTGTCTTATACCGTTTTTGTCCATCTCTTCCTCCCTTGCTGCCTGCTGTTGTATGCTTTGTGGGTTTCGGGTTTTTTTGTTTGCTTTTGATAGTGACAGGTTTTGATTCCCTTCCCATTTCCCTTCATGTATATTTTCAAGAGATTTTCTTTTTGGTTACCATTGAAATTACATAAAACCCCTTAAAGTCTTAAAGTTATAACAATCCATTTTAAACTGATAGTAACTTAATTTCAGTCTCCTGGAAAAATTCCATGTTACACCTCTGTGACCCCAACCCCATTTATGTTGTTGATGACACCTATTACCTCTTTTTCTATCAGTGTATAGACTAGCATAGATTTATAATTACTTTTATGCTTTCGTTTTTAAATATCTACACCAGATTTAGAGTGATTTACATGCCTACATTATGTTACTTCCAGATTCTCTATATGTATCTTTTCTCTTCCCAGGGAGTTTTATATTTTCTGTGGTTGGATTTAATGACTTGTGAGATGTTCTATAGCTCTCTGAATCTGTAATTGTGAGGACTTCCAACAAAGCAGATTATTCAGGGAGGAACAGGAATCTTCTAAATTGGTATCCCACTGTGTGGAATGTTCATAGTCATTAGGGTAGAATATGATTCTTGCTCAAATAAGTTGAAGGCATAGTGAGTTGATGTCCATACACAGGGAAATGGAGGTGTAGATGCAGTGTATCCATGCATGGGAAGTTCAGAAGGAATGTGGGAGGGCAATATGAATTAACAGGGATGCCTTCCAGAAACATAACACTGACTGGAAGAGGGAGGTGCAGAATGTTTATAGTGTTGTGTCGTTTTTGTTGGGCACATGCACACACACAGCATATTTACTAGTCTTTTTTGAGTATGTAAAAATCAACATGTGACAACAACAAACATCTGGAAGGATGTACTTCCAGCTCATAATAGTGGTTATGAGGAGGCTGGCGGGGACCAGGACTGGAGAATGGGTGTCAGAGCTGTTTCGCCCTACCTGTAATGTTCTGATTTTTAAAAGGGAAGATGTGTTCATCTTTTCGTGGAGGAGTTCCTTTGCCCCAGGACTCCTCAGAGGCTTTAGTCAGAAATGCATAGGAGTTCCCAGATGGTCGTTGTGGCCACCAAACCCTCCCCTGCTGACCGGAACAGGTCGGCTGGTCACCAGGTTGAGAAATGCGCTATAGGAAGCCATGTAGATATACGTGGATAATCTTCATGTATGGAGGTGTGGAGGTGTGGGTGAGGGAGGGGACAGACTTCCCCTCAATTCTGCCTGTGAGCTTGGTGTGCCCAGGACAAGGGGACTCTCCAGTACTGAACAGGCGAACCGTGCTGAGCTGCTCACTCTACCTGGCTCTGGATGTGTGGACTGAAGCGGGCAAAGCTGCCTGGGCTGAGAAAGGTCAGGGCAGCAGTGGGTCCCCGGCCTCTCTCCCTCCCTCTGCTCCAGGCGCGTGCCTGTGACACTGCCCCTGTCTCCCACAGATTCGGTGAGCCTTGCCTATCAGCGGGTCCAGAAAGTAGACTGCACCTCCCTGAGGCCCGTCCTCATTCTGGGGCCCTTACTGGATGTGGTGAAGGAGATGCTGGTGAACGAGGCGCCCGGCAAGTTCTGCAGATGCCCCCTTGGTAAGGGGCACCCTCTGTGCCTACTGGGCTATGTCCACCTGTCCCCTGGGGCTGCGTTCCATGGTGTTTCTGAGTCCTCCTGACTTGGGTCACATTGCTGTGTGCCTTCCGGATCTTTCTCTGGAAGTAAGGATGGCAGAACTGCTCTTCTGCACAGTGTCCTTGCCCAGAATGTGCTGGGACAGCTCACCATGCCAGGGGGCATCCTCATTCCCGTGTCTGTGCTTTGCAGAGGTGATGAAGGCCTCCCAGCAGGCCATCGAGCGGGGCGTCAAAGACTGCCTGTTCGTCGACTATAAGCGGAGGAGTGGCCATTTTGATGTGACCACGGTGGCTTCCATAAAGGAGATCACAGAAAAGGTACCTGTTGCCTCAGACCAAGGGTTAGGGTTTGAGCATTTGGGCGTGGATGCCTGGCCCTTTTGGATCTCTGCCTTGCGTGTTTCTTGGGCCTTCGGTGAACTTGCCTGTGTCCCTTTAGTCCAAGTCGCTCTCCTCGAGGGTTGCCCCCACTGCTTTTGTGTGCTTCCACGGTCACCAACAGGATGCTAGTCCCTGCGCACATGTCACCTCTGTCCCTCTGAGGGGATCTGATGGGAGCTTTGAACTCTAGGAAAGCCCCACACGGGGGATTCTACAGCAGGGTCCTGCATCTGCTCTGCTTATGTGCAGACGTGTTTACGTGTGCCTTGTTCTGGGGACAGGGCGCCCAGCCTCCATCAGGGTCGCTGCCCCTGAAAGGATTAAGAGCCATTTCGGTGTGTCTTTAAGGCTCTTGAAGGTACTGGGGTCCGTTTGCCAGGCAGCATGAGGAAAAGTGGGGAAATCTGGAAGGGATATTGGAAAAGCAGCTGTTGAAGGTGTGGCTACTCTTTGGTGTCCTCCTCACTGAGTGGAGGAGGTGGATGTGCTCCAGTTAGGGGTGCTCCAGGAAGGTGGAAAGCTGGCCGACGTTGGGCTCCCTCTCTGCAGCTTGCGGGCATCGGGGAGAGCCACGTGCAGAGGGCCCGTGGTCTTTCCTTGGCTCACACTCTGCCCGCAGGCTCAGGGAATCCGGGGACACGTTTCAGTCACAGCCACTCAAAGACACGCACTCCCCTTCCCCGGGGCAGGCCCTGCTGAATCTCCATGTCTTCTTTTGCTCAATCTGGCAGAAGTGAGGCTTCTGAGGCCCGGCTGGGGGTGGGCTTTAAGAAAGTTCCCTGTATCTGGGCAGAGGAAGGACAGGAAGTTTGGAGGTGGGCCGTCCAGACCCCACTCCACCCTGGCTCCGAGCCTTGACCACCATCAGAGTTGACAGCTTGTGGGGGAGAGATTTTCTGGGGTAAAGCTCCCCACGGTTTTTCCTACGTGGTCTTCGTGGAAGACTGGTCATGCTGCCTGGTTCACGGGTAAGACCTTCGTGTTTGTGTATGGAGTGAGGGAGAGCAGTATGGGAGAGGTGGGACCCAGCAGTGGCAGAGAAAGGCAGGAGGTGTCCTCAGAAGGGTGTCAGTGTTTCTGAGGCCCAGCCCACCGCCCCCTGCCTGTCCCGGGGCACTTACTGTTCCCCCTCCCCCCCTCAGAACCGGCACTGTCTCCTGGACATCTCCCCCCATGCCATCGAGCGGCTGCACCACATGCACATCTACCCCATTGTCATCTTCATCCACTACAAGAGCGCCAAACACATCAAGTAGGTGCCCGGCTCGGCGGGGGCTCGGCAGGGGCCTTGCTGGGGATGGGGCTGCTGGCTCAAACGCTAGGCAGTGGGGGCGGACGTGGGAGAATGAGACGGGCAGGGCAGCGTGTGTGGGACCCTCCCCGTCTCAACGCTCAGTCAGGCAGGGTTAACCAAGCACAGCCCTCCTCCCACTGCACCTTTGCCCTCTCTGGTTGCTGCCACGGTTCCCGGAGTGTGCGTGGCTTTGTCTGCTCTGCTTCCTGGGCGTCCCACCCCTCTTTGCCCTTCCGCCTCTCAGCTTGGTGCTCACGGGGACACGGTGACTAGCTGACCTGGGCTGGATCCAGGTCTGCTAGGAGCTGGCTTGGGTCATGGATGAGCCTTTATTTTCACTGAGCTTTAGTTTTCACACTGGTTGGGCTGACAGCTCGTCAAGCCCTCCCCTCCATTTTGCCTTTCTGTGCTTCTAAGCTTCCGGTTCCTGCACCTGGGGACCAGCTGGGGGGCGGGGGTGTCTGTTCTCTGTGTGCCTATAGTGGGGCGCCCACCTCCCCTCTACTGCCCAGAGCACTCCATGGGGCCTGCAGGCTGTCGCTGTGCTTTACCAGAGGAGCGCATGGGGCCCTGTTGACAGAAGCCCTGTTACACCGGAAGGTGGAGGGCCCTGGGAGGCAGGAGACTCAGCCTGCTTCTCTGGATGTCTGATAGGGAGCAGAGAGACCCCATCTACCTGAAGGACAAGGTGACTCAGAGGCATTCCAAAGAGCAGTTCGAGACGGCTCAGAAGATCGAACAGGAGTACAGTAGATACTTCACAGGTAGGTGTGGTCTGGCCTTGTCCACCCGGACTTTTACCCAGGCAGCAACAAGTTCATCTCACAGCACAGGTGCCGAGCGTAGAGCTCCAGCATTCTAGCTGGTGGCTGCGGCCATCTGCCCTTCACACCCTCCAGGGCGCTCCACTCTTGCCGTACGGTTTGGCGAAGAAAAAGCTGCACTCTTACCAGCTTTGATCTTCGAAGCACCGCAAACCGAAAGAAGCACTTCACTTTGTGGCTTTCAGCCTCTGATGAAACCAGTCGTTTGTGGTGGGGTTAATGAACACTGGGCTCGCAGAGGCAAGGACCATGATTTTAATTCACTTGTAGGGACTGTTGTGATCTGGTTTCGTGTTTCTTGTGCAAAACATTGGGTCTCAAAAACCAGACTCGGAGCTTCTATGTATGTGTATGGAGTTTCAATCTTCAATCTGTCACAGACCAGTATTTAGTCAAATATGTTAGTAATTACTAGAGAAATGAAAATTTAAAACTCGAAAACTTACAAAATATAACCTTTGACTTTCTTCTCTTAGTTTCAACAGACATAAAATTACTCTTGTCACAGTTCGACAGCAGTTTCTAAATGCTCCCTGTCTATTTCTGTCCATACCTGTGGGAAGTGGCCGGGGACCGTTTTGGCTACCGGTGCTGTTCCATGGAGCACACTGAGAGCTCTGGGCTAGTGTCTACGGGACCTCTGGTGTTGAAAGCCTGCAGGGCAGGGCTGGCCATAGCTGGGGACGTATCATCATCTTGCCTGGGAGTCTTCACTGGCCTATGGGGATGCGCCGGCTCCTTAAACTTATTCTTGTTTCTGGAGAATCCTGCTGCTGATTGAACCATCGCAACAGAGCCCCAAACTGCTTTCCCATGTGCCAGGCTCCACATTGCAAGACTAGGCAAGCCCCACCCAGGGCATGCGGTGAGAGTGTGCAGTTGGTGTGAGTGGGCAGATCCTGGTCATCCCTGTTACAGGGGCCCATGAAGCCTGGCAAAAGAAAAATTTTTTTTAAAGTTTATTTATTTTGAGAGAGAGCGTGAGTGGGGGAGGGGCAGAGAGAGAGCGAGAGAGAGAGTATCCCAAGCAGGCTCTGCACTGTCAGCGCAGAGCCCAACGCGGGGCTCGAACCCACGAAACCGTGAGATCCTGACCTGAGCCAAAACCGAGAGTTGGACGCTTAACCAACTGAGCCATCCAGGCGCCCCTGAGCCTGGCAAAATTTGACACCAACCTTCATCTGAGCCCGCATTTTCAGCATCCTACTACTCAACAGCTGAGCAGAGGGACAGATAAAAAAACCAAAGTTATTTGCACTCAACTCTTTTCTTTCTCTTCCCCAATTTCTTGCTGATGGAAGAGAGTGAGGAAAGAAAACCAAGCAGCTCCAAACAGGCAGAAAACCAGAAAAAGTAAAAGATGTATTTATTTGCCACAAGCCTGGGGTCTCACTCACTCTGAACTCAATGATGTGTTTGGGGGCTCTCTTGCAGGGGTCATCCAGGGAGGAGCCCTGTCGAGCATTTGCACTCAGATCTTGGCAATGGTCAATCAAGAACAAAACAAAGTCCTGTGGATTCCAGCCTGCCCGCTGTAGAAGAATGCCACGCTGGAAGTTGCTGCGGCTTGTCTGCCGGCATAAACGTCTGGCCCAGCTCCTTCTCAGTGACTGAAAGTACACGTCTATCTGTATATAAACATGGAGGGGAAGGACCTGTGCACATGGACTCCGGAAGCATCTCCTCTGTAGACCCAGGGCCACAAGTGAACAGGATCCGGGCCCAGGCCATTGGACTGCCTTCCTCTCACACATGTGCTTTAAGACGAAATAAAAAAACACAAAAGACTTTTCGATAGAGGGGTTCAACACCACCCTTTCTTTAGCCAGCCGATCAGAGATGCTGCAAAGACAACCTTTCAGATCACACGTTTACAAGCCTTTTCTAAGTATTGGTTGCTTATGTTTACTTGAACGGCTCCATGTTGTCGGTGCCCAGCCCTATCCCTCTGTCAGCCACCCCCCGTGTTGCTTTGGTGTTGGGTTTTGTTCCTGCTTTTAGCAAAATGACTCTGGAACCTCGCTGGGGCCCACTTTGCTCTGGGAGGTTCCTGTCGGTGGGACCAGAGCTTCAAGAAACTTCCCACTCCACGGTGGCACCTCTCCTGGAAGGGACACGGTGACTGCACAGGCTTAGCCGCTCTTGTGGCAGGACCAGTGCCTTTGTAGGGCCGAGTCACCAGCAGCCGTGTTCTCCCTTCCTGCGCCAGGAAGACCACGTAGGCTTCCTGCACCCTCATTGCTCGGGCTTTCTGTCCTACCTTCCGTGTTCTCTCATTTCTTCTCCATCTGTGATTGTTGCGTCCGCATTCTACCTGGGGTCACCACCACACCGTAGTTCTGGGCAGGGTGTTAGTTAACCGAGGGCTGGCGCGTGCTACTGGGACCTCTTCAGCTTCTGTAAATAATGACCGCTTTATCAGTGCAATTTTTGCAGGGTGACTCTTAAACGCTGGGGGCTGGGGCAGGTACATCAGCTGTCTCTGATGTGAAGACACTCGTGTTTCAGACTTTGAACCCAGAGCGCTTAGGGGAAGCTTAATGCCGAGTGTCCTCACTGTCAGACATCTAGAGAGCGGCCGAGGACCTTCTTAGTCCCGGTGACCGTGCTCCCAGCATAAACACGACCCCACAAGAACGTCTTTGTTGGGGGTTTTGTTTTGGTTGGGTTTTCTTCTTTTCTTTTTTCTTTTTCTTTTTTTTTTTTTTTTTTTTTTTTTTTTTTTTTTTTTTTTTTTTGCACTTCTGATGCTGGATATCTCCGGCTGAAGATTTGATGTGGTTCCTCCTTAAACTGTGCGTCCTGTTAATAATAGGTACTGTACTGGGCTCCGTGGAAGTGTCACTGGGGTAGGACCTATATTTTAATACTATTCCTAACATTTCATTTTACTAGCAAGAAATCTTTGATTTCATTTTATTCTTTGTAATTCTAGACACTAGATTGTAGATTAGCCAAACTGACATTTTTTAAAAAAAAAGGGATATATTTTCTTGCACAGTTGTTCAAAAAGAGACATGTGTCAGTCCTCAGTGCTGCCCTTTGTTTCACAGGTACGCGTCGTCTTCTAGCTCAGACAACCAAGACAGACGGTGGGCTGTCTGCGGTCCCACCTGGTGCCCTCTGGCTCTCTCTCTGGGTTGCGGCCCGAGTGGGACTGTGATGGTAGTGTGCACAGGTACTGTTCTGACAGACTGGGATTTTCTGTACTAAAACCTTACTTTGTATCAAAAGTTACACAGACTTTAGTACAATAAATAAAGGTCAATTTCCGTAACTTGTTGAAATGAAGATACCTGTTTTTTAAATTGGTTTTCTGTCTGTTCCCCGTCCTTCGGCTCTCTGCATGTAGCCGGAATTGTCTGGTGTGCGAGGTTCTCTCCGGCGCCTGTGATACTCAGGAGCCCCTTTGACCTGCTGCCTGCACCCTCAGCTGCTTACATTCAGAGCTGTGAAGAGCAAAGGAGATTTGAAGGACATGGAGATCCCCTAATGTCCTCAGTAAGGGGAGGAGGCCCAGGTCAGGCCCGGGGCTAAAGAAGGCCGCGCCTGGTGTGGGGGCTGCACTGTGATAGGACCCAGCATTGCAGTACCACGTAGGGCTCTCTGGAGTTTTGGGGTGGCAGGAAGCCCGGACTGGCCTCATTAGATGCGCCGAGGTGTGGGTCAGAGCAGAGTCCTTCTCCTCTGCTCTTTTTGCCCGGAGGCCTGCAGGGGCACCGCACCATGCCGCTGCGGTGACCTGGCCAGCGGGGGCTGATTTGGTGTTAGTATCTCCTTGGTCCTTTCTTGCTGGGTGAAGTTCCATCGTGGACCTGCAGTCTTGGCCTCACCAGTGGCCACGAGAGTCACAGGGCTGTGTGGACTGTGGCAGCTGAGGTGTGGGGGTGGGGGGCTGGTGCGGCTGGCCGGGGCCCAGAGGGCCTCCTCTTTTTGTCCACGTGCACCCAGCCACCGGGCTGCCCGGAGCCAGGGTGAGAGCGGCAGCGGCTGCACAGATTTTGTCACCCACCTGGCAAATGGGGGCAACGGCCACTTGTTTTAGCAGTGGGTCTTTTAGACGTATCTGTATTTTCCAAATCTCCTATAGGAAACTTGGTTTTCTGTTACGATTACAAGGAAAAAAACTACTATGGCTTTTAACAGTGGAGGCCCGCTGAGTTGCTGAGATCCCAGAGCGCTTGCTTCTGGATGCTACAAAGTACCACTGAGGGAATTCGTGCTCGTCTCTAAGCCATGCCGAGACTGGGGCAGCAAGGAGGGCTGCAGAGGCAGATGGGGCTCTGCCCCAAGCAGGTGTCTGTCTCGTGCAGGCTCAGATCCTTCTGGAAAGGCAGAGCTGACTTCCGTCCAGCCGTGAGGCCTTGGATGCATCACACTCGTGGCCTCAGCACCTGGGCCTTTGAAGACAATGCAGGCTACATCATCTCTAAGACCCTTCCCGTGCTGACATCCGGGGTAGGTGTGGGAAATGGGGCTTCAGCAGAACCCCAGCTCCGGGTAGCCTTTTCGGAGGTCAGAGGAGCTGCTCGACATCTCGTGCTTACGAGTGGAAACTGACAGGGTCTGGGCTAGGAGCCAGGCTCCGCCCCAGAGTCTCGGACCTCTCCTTGGCTGGAACAAAGGGTTTGGTGCAAGGAAACCAACCTGCTGCCCGCCTTAGATGGACAGGGCAGAGGGCCACCTGGATCAGATACCAAGGATGGAGAGAAATATAAGGACGTGCAGGGCGGGCCTCAGAGCAAGCCTATGCCGCCGGGGAGTGTGTGGCTGGCGTCAGAGGGCTGATCCTCTCACAGGGCCTGCGGTGGCACTGCCCCCTGCCACTGGTGTTCGAACTTGCAGGTTTCATTGACCTTGTTTCGTCTGTTTATATCCTCAACGGCTCGTACCTGCCCGAATTAGTCTCTGGCCCTTTGATGGCTCCCCTTGATGTTCTCTTTGCAATTATGCATCTATCTATCTATCTATCTATCTATCTATCTATCTATCTATAAATATTTCAACTGTGAAGTGTATCCTACATATAGAATAATGTGTACAATGTAATCGTACAGCCTAAACAACAATAAAATGGGCAGGGTGTTTCTCTTCAGGGAACACAACACTACCAATCCTTCAGAAGGCCTCTTAGGCCCAACATGGTCAAATTCTCTGCCTTTTCCACCAAAGGAAGCCGTGCCCTGACTTGTAGTTTAATAATTTCCTTGCTTTTCTGTTTTTATCCCCGACAGAGAGATCTTGAAAGAATATAGTGTTCAGTGTTGAAAACACCTGGCATCCAGTACCAAGTTAGCTGTGTGAGGAGAGAACAATATTGCCGCCATTAGATGAAGTTGGCCAGGAAGAGTAATGCGGTCTTTGGGTCAGAGTGACTCTCAGCCCCCCTGGGAATTTACCGGAGCCCCTTCTGGGGGAGTCAGCACACAAGGCCTAGAATGGGCCCAGGGGCGGGGGGGTTGGGGCCACCAGTCGGGGCATGTGGCAGCGGTGCATTCCGTACACGAGGTCCTCGCCGTCTGACGGAAATGTGATCAGAGGACTTGGGATGCTGCTGCTTGCGTGCTCACCACCGCCGTCTGGATTTTGCCAGCAACTCAAAGAGAGACACTTCTGTGGGATGGAATGCTGATATCTCAAGGTGATCTGCAGGGCAGGAAGTTTGTCAGCTCATGTCAAGACAAGCCTAGTGGAAATGAGAATGTGCACCAGGGTCACCGGATGCACTGCTCTTAGCAAAGCCACGTGGAGAGAGAGACAATGGTGCTAACAGCCCTTCCCGTTTCTGTCTTGAGTCCCTGCCCCAAACCCGACTCGTTGCCCTTGAAGAAGTCTGGTGCCAGCTCTTGTGCCAAAATCTCTCCTCTGCTTTCCTGGGGATTTTCATCATTTCTTTCTTGGGCTCTCCTCTCTCTTGATGGATCTCTTGTTTCTGGTGCCACTTGTGAGAAGAAAGGGTCAATATTGGAATTCTTTCCAATGTTGGAATATCGGAATATGCAGGGTGACTGGGTTTACCTTCTCCTGACACTGTCTTTTAGAAGAGTTCTGAGTTAAAAAGAAGAAAAAAATAGAAGAGTTCTGAATTAAGAAAAGAGTAGCCAAGTCTGTATTCACCATTGTCTCCAGATCGGTACATCTGGGTCAGGAGGCCTGGGAGGCAGCACCTCGACGCTAAGAGCCCAAATAAGAAGGAACTGCATCGACAACTGGCATGGGGCCTCAGTTATTCGTGTGTCAGCTGTACTTGACTGAGTCTCTCCATTTCTGATCCCCTGTCAGTATATTTTGTCATTTTGCTGTTCTTTCACACAGATTTACTCAACTTTGTCAGTCCCTTCTAGTGAGTTCACATCCTCGCTACCTTGCTTTTAATTTCCAAGAACTCTTTATTTTCTGAATGGTCTTTTATTTTTTTAATATTTATTTTTGGGAGAGTACAAACTGGGGAGGGGCAGAGAGAAGGGGACAGAGGATCCGAAATGGGCTCTTGGGCTGACGGGTTGACAGCAGCGAGCCCATTGTGGGGCTTGAACTC